AACAATAAACCGAAGAAAGGAATTGAATTTCTGCAAGAGCATGGTTTACTATCCTCTCCTCTCAATCCTGAAGAAATGGCGAAATTTCTGCGTGAAAATCCACGTCTGGACAAAAAGACGATTGGTGATTATATTGGGGATAAAAAGAACTCTCGAGTATTAGAGGCGTTTGTTAGGTATCTTGTTTTCTTGATATATATATATATATATATATATTTTTTTTACCTTACGCGATATAAGGATTGATAAGCAAAACAACGTCTCTTAAACAGCGTAATTACAAAGACGCCGAGCTTAATTACCTTTTATATTAAGCATTCTGCAGAAACCGGTCTGTTCAAAGAGCCAATTAGAACTCACTCAGACTAACGTGGGAAAAATGTGTGCCGATTTGCTAGTCAGGTCGGTTCTGCGTTTGCTTTTTAGCGGTTGAAGAAGCAATGACAGGCTTAACATAAAGTATACAACGCTAGACACACTTGATTTTGAAAAGCTTCTTTGCTAATTGATTTGTAAATGTATTTACAGATCTTTCCATTTCCACGATTTGAGAATCGACGAAGCCCTTCGTTCATTCCTGGAAAGTTTTCGTTTGCCTGGAGAGAGTCCTGTAATCGAGCATATCATAGAGTTCTTCTCTGAGCTCCTTTACGTAAGTAAACTCATCAGTTGAGTGAAACAGCAAACGGGTGAAAATTAGGTGCAAATAAAGAAACTACACGTCGTTAATTAGATAAAGAATTTTGAACGTGTTAAGTTTGCCGGATGATTGAGGAAATGGCTGAGCAAGCTGGCTCGCGGGTAGACCGGTTTTTAGGGCGAAAGAAGAAATATCGAGGACACGCGCGTGCATCCTTTGTCAAGACCGTGGAAAGCAATTTTGAGCACGAAGATTGCAAGAAATGTTGTCTTAAACAGTTCCCATAGTTGACTGAAAGTTACTTCAAAGTTTAAGATCTGCTTATTTGAAATTCTTTGACCAGTTTGAAGCTAAATTTCGTCGTTCTTTTTTTGCAGGAGGGTAACCCCGAGCCGTATGCAAACAAAGATGCTGTTTTCACGTTATCTTATGCTGTCATTATGTTGAATGTTGATCAACACAATTCAAACATTAAACAACAAAAGCCCATGACGTGTGAGGTACAGTGTACTTCTAGAGTTTCCTTGGCTCTCTTTTAAAATCGTGATCTCAGACCAATTTGTGAAACCATTCTCCCACCAATCGTTGTTCATCTCTTCTGGCTGGAGTTATATATATCCAACTAGTCCTTAGACTTTTAGCAGTCTCCTGTTTTTCTTCAAAGATAGTGGAGTGAATGCACAACCGAAACTGATAACCAAGTGGCGCGTTGAAACCGCGAGAAACGTAGGCGCTCTCCTCGCAGGGGTTGCCTTGTTTCTCCTCTTGCGTTTTGCTCGACAAAAAAGTGAGAGGCTACCCGTAGTGGTTCTACTTTTACGTGGTCACTAATATTCTCTTAATAGCTGTTACTATCCAAGTGAAGTAAACTTTAGCATTTGTTAACCACCATTGGTACCAATGTTAGCCGTTTTACGTATGTATTTTGTTACTGTAGGACTTCAAAAGAAATCTAAGAAAAACAAACGGCTCAAGTGACTTTAAAGCTAGCATGCTGGAAGAAATTTACCATGCAATCAGGTAAAGAAGCAATATTACAACTGAGTAGTGTTTTTTTGAAAGCACATCGTGTCTGTATCCCGACTGACCCTCTATGATATGAGCTGCAAAGGCCCCTTCCCCCTTGTGTCTCGAGCACTACGCCTGCTTGTTGCTTCGTTTGCCTGAAAAAACGCGAACAAAAATGGTGCCTGTTCTGCAGGCTATTAATATAACAATTCCCATGCACTCCGGTAAGATTTTATTTATCTGAAAAAAGATAGTGTTTGGTATTAACTTTGTACGGTCATGGTGTCCGACCACAGTTAAGATTTCGTCCTACACGGGTCAATTTTAGTTGCACGTTGTCCCATGACCGGGTGTTATTTGCAGCTCTGAGCATGCGTTTTACAATTCGCTCTGTACTTTTAACAGAACTGAAGAAATTGTGATGCCTGCTGAAAGAAGTGGAAAAATCAAAGAAAATTATGAATGGAAGGTGAGACAATCAATCGCGACATGGTTTTTGGTTATGTTCACTCTGAATAGCAACGGCAAAGAAATGGAACAAGTCGTTCACTCATATCGCACATCGCGCTACCGGAGCGGTTGGCCAAGAGGATTTGGTAAACTAAATACCATTCCTCTCTCCTGAATATTTGTTTCCTTCTTAGTGGGTCCCAGTCCTCTTTTCTTCTTATTCAATTCCGTTACGGTCCAAATACCTGCTAGAAGTTCTTAAAAGTGAGCGAAGCGAGCTTCAATGCATGAGGTCGCACAGCGACCGAGCAAGCGACGAAATCTCGAGGTCGACTTGTTTCGCGTGAATGGATCTGAATTATATTATAATTTCACGCGGGAAAAAATAATTCACAGATGCTGTGTCGGGAGCAGGGTGAAATATCACTCACTGTCCTGAGGGTCAATTGTCATGGCGTCACCGGTAGAATTTTTGACCGGTGAATTTCGCGTCAAAGAGGTAGGAAAAGTCCTTTAAAATGGCATAACCAAACAGGACAAAAAAGGACTTTTAGAAAGTCTAAATACCTGTTTATACTGCACCAAAGTGTGGCGCAGAACCTATCCGATATGTGACCCGCCATGTTCAAGATCGGCGCGGCACAGCTTTGCTCCGTCAAAGAAAGCACGCGGAATTGGAATCACTGTTCTTATGTGTAAACATAAGCTCTCTCCGGTATGACTTTCGTGCCGGCGCAAAAGCTGGGAAATTCCAGATCTTACTAAGCAATACATGCCTTAAATTTTCTAGGTTTTGTTGCGGCGAGCTGGTACACCTGAAGGAAAGTACATTCATGGAATCGGCAGCAGCTTTGATCAGGATTTGTTTCTTATCATCTGGGGACCAACTGTCGCTGCTTTGTCATACGTGTATGATAATGGCCTGGAAAAGAGCGTTGTACAAAAAGCTATTGTAGGATTCAGGTGGGTGCGGTCATTAACTGTCATAATTCTGAATTGAAAGTCATGGACGGTACTGGACGTTTAAAGCTGGATCGCAATCTAATTTTAGAAAGACCGCGAGAGTATTTAAAATTTTGTTCTGTCTTTCAAGAATTAATAGTTGCAAGTCATTTGTCAAGCCAATATACAGTTGTTGCAAGTGAGGCTGGGGATGACCATAGTTTCTACACAAGCATGCAGGGTGGTTTGTAACAAACAAACTCAACTTTGGCTCGCATTCACTCAAAGGCTACTGTAGGCTATTAAGCGAACTACTGAAAAACAGTCTATTGCGAGCTCATATTTTCTTAAGAGGAACGAAGGGTAAATTTGACCAAACTGATGTGAGTATTTTTGGTTTCAGAAAATGTGCCCTAATTTCAGCGCATTACAGTCTGTCGGATGTGTTTGATAACCTCGTAATCTCATTGTGTAAATTCACCACGTTCCTGATACCGCCAGAGGTTAGTACTTTTTCTCCTCTTTTAAGCCGGAGAGCTTACGATTGTGAAAAAAAATAAACGTTCTTACATTTTGTAAGTGATCCACCTGTTTAACACAATTAAATATATTTTTCTCTGCATGTTTGTTAAATTATCGTCATTTTTTTTTAGACCGGTGAAAGTCTTCCAGTTGCATTTGGTAAAAATTTGAAGGCGCAGCAGTCTGCAAGAACTCTGTTTGCACTGGCTCATCGCCATGGAGATATTCTCCGGGAAGGCTGGAAAAACATCATGGATTGTATGCTTCAACTGTTTAAGGCCAAAATGCTGCCAAAGTCTTTGGTCGAGGTGAGGAAAATCTCCCTAGTTAAGCGGTTTTTCTCCGTCCAATTACAACAGAGGCTGTCAGTTCAATGAGCCAATCAGAATTGGTTACGAATACGTGCAGCCAGCATAAAGCGCGGGAAAACGTTTGCCAGGAAGTCATGATTGTTTGGGGGTTGCTAAATTTCTGATTGGTTTATAATGGGCGGGTATTTTGTAGCCGATTACATGGCGTATTGTACGTCTCCATAGTTTATCCCCCAGTTTGAAGGATTATAGTGCACTTCCTCCTTCCCTTGGTCCACACACTGTACAGCATGGCTTGTTTGAGCTCACCAGAGCATTACACTGCCCTTGCGCCTTGGATTTCAAATCTTAGTCTACGTTGCCAATACGTATTCTCGTACGCAGCCGTTTTTTGTGACGTCAATCAACGCTCCTTCCCACAGGAGAGGAAGAGGAGTAATGTCGTCNACGTTGCCAATACGTATTCTCGTACGCAGCCGTTTTTTGTGACGTCAATCAACGCTCCTTCCCACAGGAGAGGAAGAGGAGTAATGTCGTCCCCAGATCTGTTGTTGACGAAGAAGACTTCGTCATTAAGCGATCTGGGTAAGGAGGAGAGGATCGTTGCGTGACGACATAACAGCTGCGTAGGAGAGTAACCAACACATTTGTTTACAATTTCATAGACTGAGTTGTTGCCGTGGTTTTGTTTTTAGGCTGAAGATTTTGTTGAAGCTAGCGGAAGAATAAGTCTTCTCCCGGAGGAGCTCCCGTCTACAAGGTAAAACTTCAGAATGAAGCATAATCTAACGCAGAAAATGGTAGAGCAGCCGATTTGACCGTAGCTGACTTTATAAATTCTACTTGATCACAGGCAGGAAACTTCGATATTTTCATGGTGGTACTTGGTAAACCCGGAGCCGGCGAGCAACAGAGGACAAACAACGGAAGATAAGGAAGCTCAGAAACAAGCGCATAACTGCATTAGAGTGAGTACAACAATTGGCCAATCACAATAGTTGGGGAAATCTAGTGAACCAATCAGAACGAGACGCAAATACGTGTAGCCGTGACTAGCGCGGGAACACGTGCAAACAAGGCACGAGTTGGTTTGGTTTGACTTCTGATCGGTGGGAGGTTGGCGCGAAACTTTTTGCCGATCATACAGCGTAGCGATGTACAAGGCAGCAAATAATATTAAACTCTTGAAACTTGATTTTGTGATTTGAATCTGTTCCGAACAAACTGTTCTTCTTGTGAAAGTTAGACTGGCTTTTCGATAGTCCACGAGGAAGGTGGTGTCGTTTGGTCGCCTTAGGTTATTAGTGGTAAAAGTAAAAACAAATTTTTTTCCAGTGAGTTGCAAATCGTTTTTTAACTTTTATTTCTTTCCCACAGGAATGCCACCCAGAACTTCTTATCACAGAGAGCAAATTCCTAAGACCCGAGTCGCTGAATGAACTAATGAAGGTTGTACTATTATCTTATCAGATCTAGGACGCTATAAACAGCCTTTTATTTAGATGTTTCAACATTTGGCATTGTGAAAAGAATAAACCCGCTTGTCGCGAAGATTAAGTTACCCTGATTCGCCGACGTCGCTCGCTTCTACACCCTTCAACCGGAAGCAAACATCTTTGGAGCCAATCAGAATCAGGCTACAGTTTGTTTGTTCAGTTCGTTTGTTTTGTTGTCCTATTCGATCTTAAACGTGCGAACTCTTTCAAACAAGTTCTTAACCCATAAAGATCCCAAGCAATGAAGATCTATTTTCTCCCAACAGTGTCAATATGTATCCAAAAGAAAAGGTCACGAGATTTTACTCCAATCATGATCATCAAGATGGGAAATTCTTTGATCCATTATCAAATTCTCTCAACTAATTCTGTAAGGAAATGTGTAGAGATCAGTGTGGAGAATTCGCTTGTCGATATTGGGGGTTCAGTGTTAATTGCTTTGTGTGTAAACAAAATCACGTTACTAAGCACGTGTTTGTTTATTTTCATTCGTTGCTTTCCTGTTTTCTCTCTTGGACTTTTAGGGTCCGACTTCTATTTACATAAGCACTCATGTTACGTGTTTTACATTTCATTTTGTTGTTGTCCTTTTCCATAGTTCATTGGCCACAGAGTTCACTCTCTTGTGCGTATTAATTTGTTTGTTTGTTTGTTTGTTTTTTTATAGGTGTTAATTTATAATTCAAGCGTTGATAACCAAGAATCTTATGAAGAAGAGGCTGCGGTTTTCTTTTTGGAACTTTTAATCAGAGTTGTTTTGCAGAACAGGTAGCTCACTCACTAAACTATCCTCAGATTTCGCGGTAACCCATTATTCTTTACAACAGCTCGTGGCCGCGATATACGCAGCGGGGAGCCCCAAGTCAAGAAAGCTAGTTCGTATCTTGCAGTGAGATAAGCGAAGCTCGATAAAGCTTTCCGACTTGCTGCCGTGGATCCACGAAGCTGTTCAACAATCTTGAGCTTGAATTTTCAATGAGATATGTTCTAACCAATGAGAAAAGAACAACAAACGCCCTATTTCCTCCAGATGACTAGTGGTTTCAAGTGTTTTACAAATACTTTGGTCTTGCTTGTCTCGTGACAATAGAAACCCGACTTGTCTGACTATATTGTTGGTATTTTTCTGTTTTTTTTTTAGGGATCGTGTTTCAGCATTGTGGGGAACAGTGAGAGACCATTTGTCCAATATTCTTGTGAATGCAACTCAGCACAGGTAAGGAAAAATTA